AGACTCGAAGCAGGTACAGATGGGAGTGAAGGCATAAGCATCAGGGGTCCTTTGTTACCAGCAAAAGCTGGCTACTCCTGCTTCTGATTTATAGCCCTGAATTCCCCATGCAGGAAGTGCTAGGGTGGTTCTTGTGGGTTTTTTCAGGCTATAGAGCCATGTTCTAGAGGCATTTCTCCTGACGTTTCGCCTGCATCTATGGCAAGCATCCTCAGCCACTCCGATTTTCCATTTCCTTTGCAAAAGCTATTGCTTCCGTCTTCACACTAATCTGTTAAAAGGTTTCTGGAATTACCTCTACCTCTGAGGATGCTTGTCATAGATGCAGGCGAAACGTCAGGAGAAATGCCTCTAGAACATGGCTCTATAGCCCGAAAAAACCCACAAGAACCTAGTGATTCCAGCCAAGAAAGCCTTCGACAATACAGTGCTAGGGTGGTTCTGGCAGCTATTCTAGCTGAATGACGTCTCTGCTCTCTTTTCTTCCACCTTTCCAGAAATGTGGGCACTTGCAAGACGTCATCCTCTGATTCTTACTCCCCTTCTGATTCCTGAACACTTTCCTGTTCCCCTTCCTCTTCTGAAGATGAGGAATCCCTCACATCCAGGCCCTGTAGTGACTACCTGCTCCATCCTTTTAGAAGTTTCCCAAATTCTAAATGCTTCACATGGATCCTCAAAGTCAGCAGCCTTGCTAAAGAAGGCAATCCCCACCAGCTGGAGCCTTATGGCGTGAATGTAAATGTTAGACCTCCTCAGGTGAACCAAAAATGTACGACTTTTGTCTTCCTCCACCTTCCACTCTCATCTCTATTTCTAAGCCGAAGAACCGGCATTGTCCATAGACACCTCTGAGGTCATGTGGCCGGCATGACTGCATGGAGTGGCATTACCTTCCTGCCAAAGTGGTACCTATTGATCTCACATTTCCATGTTTTTGAACTGCTAGGTTGGTAGAAGCTGGGGCTAACAGTGGGAGCTCACCCCGCTCCCCAGATTCAAACTGCCAAACTTTCAGTCAGCAAGTTTAGCAGCTTAGCAGTTTAACCCGGGGTGCCATAAAGGGGCCCTCTGTGATATCTGCAGCTTTTGGCTTGTTAATGCTTGTTGTTTAGCTACTTTCTTGAACTTGGGAAAGGAGTATTGGAACTGGGAATTCATGATGGATATATGTGAGACAACTGCAGCTAAATATGCAAATATGTGAAATTGATGCTCATTCCTAAAACTGCCTCTCCCCTAACCCCGTGATCTCCCAATTGTACAAATACCCAGTGCCTATTGATTCCCTTCCTCTTTACTTCCACAATTCTAAATCCTCCACATTTGTTGGCTTCTCTGCTTCTCAGCTTATTAAATTTTCCTTCTGATGGCTCCCATACCCTTCAAATTCTCTCCCCTCCTTAGCTTTCTCTTCTTCATTTACATCACCGACAATTCCTTCATGTTGCATGTGAAATCTCTCCTGCCCTTCAGCCACTCCGATTTTCCATTTCCTTTGCAAAAGCTATTGCTTCCGTCTTCACACTAATCTGTTAAAAGGTTTTTGGAATTACCTTAGAAAACAGCTGCCAAGCTGAACCTAAAAGGTCAAGCTGTGTTAAGCAATATCTATGCCTGATTTGATTTGTTTATTCAAATATATCTTGCCTGCTGTGTATCATAAGGACAAGAATCCTGTTGGCGCCATGGCAATGCTGACGTTTGTATGTAAGTCATTCAGCGCCACTTCGCACCATATCTTTATGCCTAATGATTCTGAAATCATATGGAAACACTGAAGAATTTAAAAACTGTGTGTGAACACATTGGGAGCAAAAATTACATTGCAGAAGTTTTAATGAAAAATATTGTGCGTTTTGAGTAGCAGCCAGCTGGTATAATAACTAGGGATGGAATAGCATTCAAAGAAATAGCTGCATTAATCCAGAATCTCAGTATGCAATTCAGACCTGTAACACTCCAGAGAGTAACTGAGAAAACAAGGTTGGTAGCATAATCTTTTATAGACTGCACTGTAGAATTTGTGCAGTTTGACACCACTTTCATTGCTGTAATATTTTTGGGCTTTGTAGTTTGGTGAGGCACTAGCACTCCTGGGCAAAGAAGGCTCAAGATAGTGTGAAACTACAACTCCCAGGATTCCATAGCGTAGAATCTTAGCAATTAAATTGGTGTCAAACTACATTAATTTTTCAAGGTTTGTCCCCATGTAAGCCACCCCGAGTCCCTTTAGGGAGATGGAGGTGGGATACAAAAATAAAGTTGTTGTTGTTAATATTATTTTACTGACACAAAAACACAGTATGTCACAGCAAACGAAATAAATATGGTGGATTTCGTATCACAAAATCACAAATTGAACACCACGCAAGCGTCTAGGACTGTGTGATGTATTTTCGAATGATGCACGCAGATCCAAGCAAGGTGGCCTTTTGCAGTCGACAAATCGTGATTTTATTTATTTATTTGTTTACTTCATTTATATACCGCTTTTCTCAGCCCTTAGGCGACTCAAAGCAGTTAACAGCAGCAATTTCAATGCACACATTACAAAACCATTAGAACATTTAAAAACAATAGCATAACAACAATTAAACATCAATATGACAAATCATTCGCGTCTCGTCAATAGAATCAGAATCCAATCTCATCATCCGTTTTTCTGTGTTCCTGTAATCAATTACACTGCCTGATCGAATGCCTGTTCGAACAAGCAGGTGTACACTTTCCTCCGAAATGCCAGTAAGGAGGGGGCCGATCTGATATCTGTAGGAAGGGCGTTCCACAGCCGAGGGGCCACCACTGAGAAGGCCCTGTCTCTCGTCCCCACCAGGCGTGCTTGTGATGCCGATGGGACCAAGAGCAGGGCCTCCCCAGATGATCTTAATGTCCTAGCTGGTTCATAGGAGGAGATGCGTTCGGACAGGTAAGTCGAGCCAGAACCGTTTAGGGCTTTATAGGCTAAAGCCAGCACTTTGAATTGTGCCGGGTAGCAAATTGGCAGCCAGTGGAGCTGGCGCAACAGAGGAGTTGTATGCTCCCTGAGTGCCTCTCCAGTTAGTATCCTAGGTGCCGAGCGTTGGACCATTTGAAGCTTCCGAGCAGTCTTCAAAGGCAACCCCACGTAGAGAGCGTTGCAGTAGTCTATATTTTGTCAATGTTTATTGTTTCCAAATACTGGCTGAGATCTTTTGGCACGGCACCCAGTGTGCCGATGACCACTGGGACCACCTGTACTGGTTTATGCTAGAGCCTTTGCAATTTGATTTTGAGGTCCTGATAACGACTGCATTTTTCCTGTTGTTTTTCCTCAATGCGACTGTCACCTGCTATGGCAACATCAGTCATGATGTTTGATGTATTGTGTTCCAAAACTTTGTCAGTCTGGATTCAAAGGTCCCACAGTATTTTTGCATGTTCATTTTCCACTGCCTTTGCAGGTTTATGATCCCACCAATTCTTTACTGCTGGTAGGTGGTACTTGTGACATAAGTTCCAGTGAATCATTTGGGCCACGGTGTTGTGTCTTTGTTTGTAGTCTGTCTATGCAATTTTCTTGCAACAGCTGAGGATATGGTCCATGGTTTCATCAGCTTCCTTGCACAGTCTGCATTATTATTATTATTATTATTATTATTATTATTATTATTATTATTATTGATGCTTACTGAACAGATAATACATATTGTGCTGGTACGGCTGTACCAGGAGCTTTAGCTTCATTTTCTTTCTATTGAGTGTTTGCATATATTCCAAGGTTCCATGCATTTTGCAGTAAGGTGGCTTCCCTTGGTTTGCAATTATAGGTTCCACCCCTTTTTCCAGGGCTATGGAAGGGAAAGGGAACCATTTTTAGTTCAGTCTTACAGTGGAAAGCTTAGCTACAGGACGTAGACCAGCTCCATCTGTAGACAAGCTGCATTTCTCACAGCATCCGGGGGAAACAGAGGTATCCGGGGGAAACAGCTCCACATTTTTGTGGAAAAAATCTAAAAGAACTCCAGTTTGAGAATCTATAAAGCCTTGGCTGGTAGGCATACTCAGTAAGCAATTGGAGTCGGGAGTAGAGCCCACACCAGCAAGCATAGAAAGTAGATTGCCTGGGAGGGGTTAAAAAGTGTTTTCCTCGCTAAAGAAAAGAAACAGTTGATGAAGCCAGTTACCTGTCCATTTGAGCAAGTTAAGAAGCATTTGTTTGACTTGTTGAAGATCTGAGAAGTGTTTGTTTAAATTGTTGAAGATCTAAGCAATAATAAAGTACTTTGTTAAACTTTTCAAGCATCTAAAGACTTTTTTATAGGAAAATCCTTAGGGCCTCTCAGCCAAGGCAACCTGGCTTCCTGCTGGGCACAAAGAGTACGTCCTGTTCAAAAGACAATTATTATAGGACCAGCGCATGACAGCACACATATATTTACACTAAAGACACATTCATTCATTTATTTGCATGAAAGGTGATGGGGCGAGAAAGCAGAATGTCCATGGCTATGTCGCCAAAAATAATGCAAAAGTTTGGATATCTGGACCACCTAATATTGAGGCGAATTTGGAAGGTGTTCCCTGTTACAGTGATCTCAACATAATATGTATGGCATTAATGGAATCCCTGCAGGGTCATTGTAGGCCAAGAAAATAAAGGGCTCAATATAATTTTTATCATCAGTGTAGACAAGCCTTTAGTCTACAAAAACGCATGCTACCAACTTTGTACTCTTTGTCTCTAAGGTGTTACAAGCTCCTTTTGTGTAGGGATGAAGTGTATTTGCAAATTGTCTCCTTGAAGAGAAAGAATGTCTCAGCAAGAGTGGTGTGCCAAAACATCTCCTCAAGAAAATGGTCCATTTTAATGGATTTCTTTTTACATTTGGGGTCTTTTTCTGGAAAAGATTTCTGAAAATAGCATTACACAGGAGCCCCTTCTAACCAGCTTTCCCCACCAGTCTATGCTGTCTTCTTGTTCCCCTTCTCTGACCATTTATTCATTGGTTTGATACAAGGTGCAGTTGAAGATGGAGAAGAAGAATCTGGACCTCAGTCCTTCCATCAGTGGACTTCATATGAGAAATTGCAGTGGTTACCCAAGCGCCTGCAACATGGAGGCCAATGTTTCCTATGTGGATTTTTACCTCCACCAGCCACTCATAGCTACTATCTTCATCATCTCCTACCTGTTCATCTTCCTCTTGTGCATGATGGGCAATGGAGTGGTGTGTTTCATTGTCTTGAGGAGCAAACACATGCGCACTGTTACCAACCTATTCATCTTGAATCTGGCCGTCAGTGATCTGCTGGTGGGGATATTTTGCATGCCTACCACTTTATTGGATAACATTATATCGGGTATGTCTTATTACTATTGTCCTTGAAGTTTGGAAGCTATGAGGGTTTTCCGGAAAGTAAGGTTACAAGATGTTTTAAAATACAAAGAATGAATATATTTTAATAAAACGTACATGAATTGTAGCATAGGTATTACATTATTTTTCCACATAATCAACATTCAGTTCAATACATTTTGTCATCCGTGGGATGGGTTTTTGATGCCTGTGTCATAGAAGTTTCCCTCTGCCTTTTTCAGCCAGTTTGTCACTTTGATTTTTACCTTGTCTATGTCAGAAAAGTGTTTTCCACCAAAGTGTTCCTTCAATTTAGTGAACAGATGATAGATCAGGGCTGTGAGAGGGGTGGCTTAAAACATTGCAACCAAATAAATTCAACAACTCTTTTGTTGTATGAGTGGTGTGCACATTGTTATGAAGGAGACAGATACCCACCATCAGAATCCCACAATGTTTGTTTTGAATGGCTCTGCAAAGTTTCTTCATGGTCTCATAATATATGCTGTACCCATTTTGTCACATGCTGTCTTACATTGCATCCTCTCCATAAACTGAAATGATTTCATGCTGATTTGCAGTGGTGTTCATGCCTTTAGCACTTAGGTAGCTTATTACAGCGCAGACTTGGCACTTGGAGGGAAATGGAATGAGGACGCTCATCTCTAACTTTCACCACAATACCAGTTGATGAGATACTGATGACTAGCACTGCTCATTTGCTTCCATTGGCTTCCCACGACACGGCAGTAATAGCAACTTCCCCCACGAAAATTCCCCATGAGAGCTACGTGCCGTGAAACCTTATTTTCTAGATAACCCTCATACTATCATTTTGCCTCTTTTGCCTTTATGTTTAGAATCTTAAATGTTGCATTTTTTTCTGACAGTGGCAGCTAATTGTTCCCATCCATGGTGCTGAATCTGTTTTTGGAATAATATTTGGGCACCTTGGATAGAAGGACTTGGAAGGATAGCTCTGAAGAAAACAGACAATGTTCCAAAGTGTTCATGCAATATAATTTCATTTTGAGTGTATGTTTGTAGAAGATGAACAGTTAAGAAAGCTGGTGGAAAAGGAGTCAATTCATGTAAAATGTGTTCTGGCTTGACAATACACATGAAAGCAATCTGTGAGTTTTTGTAGACTACAGACTGAGGGAATAATAGTACTTTTATACTATAATAGTATCCAGAGGAGGGTGACAAAAATGGTAAAGGGCCTAAAAACCAGGCCCTCTGAGGAACAACTTAGGGATTTGGCTATGTTTAGCCTGGAGAAGACATGGTTAAGAGGAGACATGACAGTCATGTTTAAATATTTGAAAGGATGTCATATTGAAGATGAGCCAACTTGTTTTCCACTCCTCCAAAGATTGGTCATGAATGGAGCAATGAATTCAAATGATAGAAAGAGCGATTCCAGCTAAATATTAGGAATTTATGGTAAGAGCTGCTCAACAGTGGGATATGCCATCTTGGAATATGATGAAGTGTGCTTATTTGTGTTGGGCTTCATGCCTGACTGCACAAGTCTCCTCAGAAGATAGCTCATTGAAGCTAGTTAGTTCCAAGAACCTTTTCTATCCAGAATGGAACAAAATCTGGCTACCAGTATTAAAAAAACTCTAAAATTACAACAGCACAACAACAGAGAGGAAACAAACAAGGACATCTAATCACCTCTCAACAAAAGATTGCTCCAGGCTCTGCCAGGCCATCAAATGCTAATCAAGGTGATCAGTTGAAACAGTCACACCTAGCTCCAACAGACAATAGTCCTTTGTCCCACCCTGGTCATTCCACAGATATATAAACCCTTTTTCCTAGTTCCAACAGACCTCACTACCTCTGAGTATGCTTGCCACAGATGCAGGTGAAACATCAGGAGAGAACGCCTCTAGGACATGACCATATAGCCCGAAAAAACCTACAACAACCCAAATTTCTTTTGACTTTAATAGACATATTATTTTTAGAACCTATGAAGTTGTGGCTCTCTGTAATCCTGCTCCATCCTGCTGAATGAAAACTAATCCTTGCTGTCTACTCATAAGCTTCTGCTGGTTATGAATTGTGCTTCTGGTACTCTATTTTTTGTGTGTGTTTTTGAGACTAACAGTTCTTGATCGCTATCAATTGGCTGCCTGTAGAAACTGCTTTGAATGTGCTTCCCTGCATGGCAGAATGGGGTGGACTGGATGGGCCTTGTGGTCTCTTCCAGATATGATTTTGTGATTTTTATAAGCTTGAGTTACACATGTATAGATGTACAAGCATTTTCACAATTCCAGTTTACTTCTGACAGGACTGGATATAAATATTATTCCTGAAATTATAAGGAATATGCAGTTTGTGTATAGAGAGTGATCAATTTCAAAGAAATTGTGTATATTTTTTGTTCCAGTCATAGAATCATAGAACCATAGAATCATAGAATCAAAGAGTTGGAAGAGACCTCATGGGCCATCCAGTCCAACCCCCTGCCAAGAAGCAGGAATATTGCATTCAAATCACCCCTGACAGATGGCCATCCAGCCTCTGCTTAAAAGCTTCCAAAGAAGGAGCCTCCACCACACTCCAGGGCAGAGAGTTCCACTGCTGAACGGCTCTCACAGTCAGGAAGTTCTTCCTCCTGTTCAGATGGAATCTCCTCTCTTGTAGTTTGAAGCCATTGTTCCATTGCGTCCTAGTCTCCAAGGAAGCCGAAAACAAGCTTGCTCCCTCCTCCCTGTGGCTTCCTCTCACATATTTATACATGGCTATCATATCTCCTCTCAGCCTTCTCTTCTTCAGGCTAAACATGCCCAGTTCCCTAAGCCGCTCCTCATAGGGCTTGTTCTCCAGACCCTTGATCATTTTAGTCGCCCTCCTCTGGACACATTCCAGCTTGTCAATATCTCTCTTGAATTGTGGTGCCCAGAATTGGACACAATATTCCAGATGTGGTCTAACCAAAGCAGAATAGAGGGGTAGCATTACTTCCTTAGATCTAGACACTATGCTCCTATTGATGCAGGCCAAAATCCCATTGGCTTTTTTTTTGCCGCCACATCACATTGTTGGCTCATGTTTAACTTGTTGTCCACGAGGACTCCAAGATCTTTTTCACACGTACTGCTCTCGAGCCAGGCGTCCCCCATTCTGTATCTTTGCATTTCATTTTTCTGCCAAAGTGGAGTATCTTGCATTTGTCACTGTTGAACTTCATTTTGTTAGTTTTGGCCCATCTCTATAATCTGTCAAGATCGTTTTGAATTCTGCTCCTGTCCTCTGGACTATTGGCTATCCCTCCCAATTGGGTGTCGTCTGCAAACTTGATGATCATGCCTTCTAGCCCTTCATCTAAGTCATTAATAAAGATGTTGAACAGGACCGGGCCCAGGACGGAACCCTGCGGCACTCCACTTGTCACTTCTTTCCAAGATGAAGAGGAAGCATTAGTGAGCACTCTCTGTGTTCGTCCACTTAACCAATTACAGATCCACCTCACCAAAGTCCTGCTTTGGTTTCTGTACTTCCTCAGAAGCTCTCGATGATCAATAGTGATGCTAGCCTTTTCAAATGCTCAGAGTGTCTGTCACCTTTCTAACAGGTGCAACCTTTTGATGTAACTGTCAGTACCTTTCTTGATAAATCCTTCAATTTATGTATGAGCTCATAATGAAGCAGAGATGGCTGTTTTTATTATATCAACCATGTCCCCAAATCACCTTTACTGCTGATGTGACATTTTCATCAGACATAATAACTTTTATATCACAGGATGGCCCTTTGGGAATATTGCCTGCAAGATGAATGGAATGGTCCAGGGAATATCCGTCTCCGCTTCTGTCTTCACTTTGGTGGCCATTGCTGTCGACAGGTATGACACCCTAAGTAACAATTCATCATCTGTGGGGGATTATAACATAGTGTAGGAAAATCAGGACAAAGTTGCACATGAATAGAAGCATAATTATAAACCAGTGGAGTGAAAGAGCAACATGTTGCCCTGAAAAAGGTTTTCTGTGGGGAGAGTATGAAGACAGAAAAGGCAAGCATTATGGATCAGCAGAGCCTGGATCTTATGATCTTATGATCAGGAAGTCTTAGCATTTTGCTATAGCAATTTATTGGGGAGTCAAGGATATCAGATTCCTTTCTTGGTATCTCCAACTAGTTGAAGGTTCACATGAAAGCTAGCTTTTAGGAGTGAAGTACAGGTTAATTTCTCTTCCATGTGTCCTTTTCTATCCCAACATGAATTTCTTGATACAGTAATCCCAAGTTTTCCCTTACCTTACAAAAACATACTAAAGAATTACTCCTATTTCTACCACATGCTTGTATTTCATTAGCCCTGATGCACTTTGCTTAATATAAATACTAAATGGGTTGTTGTAGAGTTTTTTGAGCTATATGGCCATGGTCTAGAGGCATTATCTCTAGGAAAGAATGCCTCTAGACCATGGCCATATAGCCCAAAAAACCCTACAACAACCCAGTGATTCCGGCCATTAAAGCCTTCAACAATACATAAATACTAAATGTTTCTACATGCACAGTCTATCTCCATATGTGTATAATGACATCCCACAAGGCAACTGAAGTGTCCTAGGACACCTCTACCCCAGTGCACCCATGGAGTCCCATGCTGCCATTCAGATGACATAGGGCAGCTTCCAGTGGGGTTCTGTGGATGAACGGGAAAAGCTGCGTGGTGGGACGCTGCTGCCACCAACATGGAAGTTGCCCCATGTTCCATAAGTAGCAATGGAGCTTCGGTAGAGCAGCAGCACTTCCCCACATGGGATGGGGAAGTATCAGCTGGCATCTGAGGTATCAGGATTGTCCTGCTGCTGTCATGATTCGCCATGGAGGTTGGCAAATCATGGTGCTGGACCTCATCCATGTGATGAGGTCCTTAGACAATGGCACAACTAGTGAAATGGAATGATGCCCATATTTATAGACATAATCATATTGGGTTTTTACAGAGGTCTTCAGCAATGGTTATTTATTTTGTACCAAAAGCATTGCATAAATTAGTATAAAACTGATAAAAATAGAAGAAGCGCAAGCAACTAAATATCTTTTGACCAAAAACGAGCAACAGCAATGGCATTGTCTGTAGCCTCCAACAATTCTTCCTCTGTACATGAGGCAGGGCATAGTGGACAAGCATACAGATGCAGAGTTGTCTGTTCTGCTCCACAGTTACACAAGGCGTGGGATTCTTTTGGGTAGTGCCATTTTGCCAAGTTGTCTTTTGATCTGCCCACTCCACTTCTGAGTCTGTTCAGGGACTTCCAGGTTGCCCATTCTTGGTTTGCCCCTAGAGGAGGACCCTCGTGGGAGGGCATTCATTCAGAAATGGTATACGTATATGCCTCTACATATATAATTCTGCTTTAATGCTAGAGCATTTATAACTATATAAATTGCTCTAGAAATTCTTGCTGAATAATGACATGCAAATTCATCATAAATAAATAAATAGGAACAAATGTGGAATCGCAGCCCTGTGAACCAAGGCTAGGTTTGCAAAAACTTGGGATTATGAAGATAGACAGAGAAAGAGATATTCATTTTCACAAGATGGACCATCCTATTAAATATAGATGCACACTTCACAAGCAGGATCAGCTGGAAGCTCCTGTGCCTTCAAGGCATGAATACAAGCCAGGGATTACTTTGAAATTTATTCAAGGTGCTAAATCTCTTTTGAATTCAATATTCAGAGTTCAATACTTGGGATATTTCATTTAAAGTTCAAACTAAAGGTTCACCATGCTACTGACATGGAAGCTACCCTGTACAGCTCTTCTCAGGGTTCCTCTGGGACTTTTTAGAAGGCAATTATACTTAATATGAAATCCTTCCACCAGCATTCAAAGGCACAGCATCATGAACCTTGCAGTGAACACAGAGAGATGAGTGGAAGGATGTTGAGCATTATTTCTCTCCATACTGTAGCTACAGAAAGATGTGCTTTGGAAATCTGAAGTGTGAGTACATTACTGACACGGCTGGGACTGGAAGTTTTTCTGAGATGTTGAAATACTTGTATTTACACATACTTACATCATGAGATATGTGCCGTCACGCCTGGGGGCTATTATCCTCAATAAAGGAGGGATGGACGTGGCATCTTTCCCCCAGGGGATTGCTTCTTGCCCTCCTATAGGAAACTGGAACTCCCAAAAACCCAAAACGCTGTAAATAGCTCAAAATAAGTTTTATTGATAACAAAGTCATTTCTTTAAAGCAATGAGCTGGAAAACTTTAGAGGGGTAAAGAAAAACATACATTACAGTCTCAATAAGTCCTGAGTCCAAGGGGTTTGAAGCTGAGAAGCCTCACCAAGTTTCCTCCTTCCTCAATGGCTGTGAATGCCGGAGCAAACCACAACCCCAGTTCAGATGGCCTATGTCTTGAAGATTCAGGATCTTCCTCTGGTGCCAAAAGAACCGGCTTGAAGGCACCTGGGTCTCCTCAATAATTGTCCAGGACGATCTGGACATAAAGCATGAGTCCCAGGGGTAAAAAACCTCAGAACTGGTGCTAAGAGGTAACTTGAATCAGGGTCCTTTAGAGTCAGGTCTCTTACTCACGTCCATCTGGTACTAACTCTGAAGGCAGAATGAAAAGAAAAGGAAGTTCTCTCCTCTTGCAGGAAGAGGTGGAGCCAAACAGTACTGATTGACAGCTACAAGCAACTAATCCATACAACTGTACATAAACATGGTAAAAGGGGCAGGATTAAGCATAATACAACAGTTTAAGTCTTACAACTAACAGTTTTATACATAGATGGCGCCACTCGCGCCGTCACAAGGTAGCTTGGAGATAGGACCTAAATCTAAACATGAAAATCATGCATGTTTCTTATACACCTTATACACTGAGCTGGAAGGAAATTGTTTATCCAAAATGTTAACCATTTTGGGTAGGACACAAATTCTGTGTACATTGAGCCATCAAAAAGCAAAGGTGTCACTATTTCAGCCATCCATGTGGAAAATTTTAATTTAGGAATATTTGGAGATTTAAGATAAAAGATGCTGAACATATAATAGAAAAGTGGAATAGAAATTCCACTAATGTCTTGGTATTTTCTCTCTCCATTGCAGGTTCCGTTCTATTGTATATCCTTTTAAACAAAAGCTCACCATATGGACAGCCATTTTTATCATAGCTGTCATCTGGATTTTAGCCATTGCCATCATGTGCCCTTCTGCTGTGATGTTGAAGGTGGAAGAAGAAAAGCATTTCCGTGTGGTGCTTGGTGATGGCAACAAGACCAGTCCCGTCTATTGGTGTCGGGAGGATTGGCCCAACCAAGATATGAGGAAGATCTACACAACTGTACTGTTTGCCAACATCTACTTGGCACCTCTGTCTCTCATTGTCATCATGTATGCTCGGATAGGGATCACCCTGTTCAGTACATCCCTACCTGCCTGTGGGAAGCAAGGGCATGAGCGTCACTCTGTTCAGAAGAAGAAGCTGAAGGTCATCAAGATGCTAATAATTGTAGCCTTGCTTTTCATTTTGTCTTGGCTGCCATTGTGGACTTTGGCAATGCTCTCAGACTATGCTGACCTGAGTGAAAATCAGTTGAAAATTATTAACATTTATGTCTACCCTTTTGCCCATTGGTTGGCGTTCTTCAACAGCAGCATCAACCCTGTCATCTACGGGTTCTTCAATGAGAACTTCCGCCGAGGTTTTCAAGCAGCCTTCCGGCTTCAGCTTTGCTCTGGAGATGGAATTCCCAGGGAAATCTATTCCCAACGGGGACCAAGCAATGCCATTTTGCCAGCAGCTGTTCCCCAGACACCATCACACCATCTTGCTCCCACAGTTGCAGAGCAGTCAGCTCCAAAGGGGAACTGGATGGGCACCACCCAAGTATTAATGATGGAAAGCCTGGAGAAGACTTGTAATAATAATGGAGTGAAACCAGACATGACATAAATTACCTTGACTGTTGGGTTGGGTAGCTTTAGTGAACTAGGCCTTCAGGCCCTATCTGGCAAAAAAGACATCTGCTATTTTCAGACTTTGATACGTGTACATTATATACTTTTTGTATCATATCAGGAGATTCTGTGCTCACACCTTTATCAATTTGGAAACAAAGGGTCTGGGAATAAGGCTATCTGGAGAACATTGTAGAAAGCCACTACCCTCTATATATGGTGTGGAGGAGAGAAGACTGTGCAGTGATGTGAAGGCCAGCTACAGATGTCTCTTACACAGATGGTACAGGAAGTTTATATCCTGCTGCTCTGGAGGGCAGAGGCCAAACTAATAAGTTCAAGTTTTATGAACAGAGATTTTGACCCAACTTTAGAAAGTTCTTATTAGTGATAAAAACTGTTGAATAATGGAGGTAGTAGACTCAATTTCCTGTAATGTTTTTAAACAGATTGGATTGTGATCCAGCAAGGATGCTTTAACTGTGCATTGGATTAAGTGGCAGCTGGTCTGTCAAAATGACCTTTTTTTGTCCAAGAACATTGTATTTTGTGCCAAATATTCTACTTTCTCTCCAAGTATGATCTCCTAGCACAAAAGGGCAATTTATTTTGTTCAAAGGTTTTTTCACATATTTCCTCAAAAAAACTCCTCAATTGGGAAATATTTTCCAGAATCCTTAAGGACCCATTAGATTACCTAACTTTACAAACATGTAACTAGTGCTACATATTTACTGAATTGTAAATGTGAGTAACAGGACAAGAGCACTTGATGTGCATTAGGATAATGCATATAGAAGCACAATGCACTTCAGTGCTCATTGGACACTTTTCACAGTTCTGCAGCGGACCTCTGCTGAAAACCAATGTTATGCTACTGCTCAGGTTGAATTTTCACAAATGTAAGTCCATTTACAAAGATGTAAGATCCCAACAAAATTCTGGCAAAGTCTTTAAAAAATATATGAAATCTCTGCCTGGGAGTTATTTATGCATGTGAGAATAAAATAAGCAAAGATTTGCATGTTTATCACAATCAAAAGTCATGGTTGCTAGAAACAAGAGAATGTCTGGGAGTACAAAGTGAAGAAAGACTTATGTTGGAGAATTGTATATTTCTCTCTGCTTTTAACGATTGGAAAATATATCTTTGCTTTTTCATTCTACACCATTATAGCACTCTGATTCCACTTTAATTGTTGTAGCAGCATCCTAGACTTGTAGTTCAGGGAGAGGTTTTTAGTATTTTCAGCCACTGAACTCTAGAGCAAGGGCTTCAAACTTTGATCCTCCAGATGTTTTGGATTTCATCTTCCAGAATTCCTGGCATTAGGCATTCTGGCTAGGTCTTCTGTGAGATGATGTTCAAAATATCATGGAAACAAAGTGTTAAGAACCATTGCTCAAATGGAGAGTAGAGTTTTAATCCCTGCTCAGCCATGGAAATCCACTGGGTGACCTTGGGCAAGTCACACTTTTTTCAGTCTCAAAAGAAGTCAAAGGCAAATCCTTCCACACAAATCTTGCCAAGAAGACCTCATGTAAGGTTTGCCATAAGTTGAAAATCACTTGAAGATACATAACAACAAATATACATAACAACAAGGTTGTCGCATCATCAGATGCAACCACCTTGCATGAATCTTCTCTACACAGTTGTTTCAGTCTGATACCATTTTGTCATAGCTCCATCCTGAAAAATACTGGAATTTGTAGGCAAATGCACTTGGAATACTCTGCTTGTAAGGTATAATGTGCATCCCTGATTTACAGGGCTAAAGTGCTCAAGAAGAAAAATCTAAGTCTTTCAAAGACATCAATACGCAAGGCCATTTTTGCTGGTCATAAAGATCAAGTAGACAGAACATATTGTAAAGAACAAAAATAACTTTCTGGCCTTGCATTGCACATTTTAGTGCAAATATAAAGACACAAAGAGTGTTCAATTCTGCAAGTATTGCAGAATGTCATGTTTTCTGAAAGACAAATGTGTAATATGACTAGATCTGTGATGGATAGAAGTTCCATTGCTGGAAAGACCTACCCCTTATGGTCTACTTTTAGGGCCATGTTACTCTGAGCACAATCCCAGGTAACACCACCAGCAGAGTTTCACTGGCTGATCTTACATTTTGGATTGATCAGTACAGGATCAAGTGGTTCTTTAAGTACTTAAGCATTCTTGCAAAACAAGATCTCCATAGATAACAGAAGGGTCCTAGAACTAATTTTGGAATGTAATTTTTATATTGCTTGCATGTAACTAAAGTCTAACGATCATTTGGGTACCTGTGATGTGGGCCAAGCCACAGATCTGTACACTCGTTTCTTTCTAATGTTTGGAAAATGTGGCAAAAAACCCCCAGAATTATTTGAAACTTTTAAAAACATCTGTGTGAGTTCAAATAATCATGAGCTTTGGACATTATAATGAATGTAATGCTTATATTTGAAAAAAGATACTTGTTTGTGTTTTTTGAAAGTTGTACTATTTTATATTTTCTTTGGCATTTTGAGAAACCTTAAATGCACATATCATTGGGAATTCCCTATTAAATGTTGTGGGTCCTACTCCATCAACCTCCACCAATGAGCAACCCTATTAATGAAGAAGCCCTATTAAATGTTCGTACTTAGAGCCATTAAAATGAGTGAGCCATAAAAGCTTGAATCTGATTAAGTCTGAACTCATGTAAACCCATTGAATCAATTGCTTACACAAATCCCATTGATTGAATGGATATGCTCAACTAACCTACTCTAGTTGGGATGATTGAGCAATTGAATTTAGGACAATATTAGTCTTGTTCAATTGCTTTAATTCGATCAATTCCCTTAAGTATGTTTAATCTTGGATTCAGTTTCTGAGAAATACAGGAATGAGCTAAAAGTCCCATTGGCATCAGAGGTAATTTCCTTGGCAGACGTCAATGGAACTTAGAATAAATTTTCATAGGATTAGGGCCAGATCATCTTCACCTGCTTCAAAGGTGATTAAAATGCATTTAGGTGGTGGTTATGAGATCTGAACTAGCTATTTTAATGCATCTCAGCCTTGAAATACGCATATTCCAATGTGGAATGACCTTTTGTGGAACTGCTAAGTAAAGTGCATGGAAATTAAAGCTGTTTGATGTTTTTATACAAGACATGAGTATTGATCAAAATTCAGAACTGTGCTAAGCAAGGGAGCAGTCCAATTTTTGAAAGCGTATGACCTTAAAACTCTGTTTAAATATTTAATTTAAAACAGATGACACCTGAACATTAGGATTATTATTCTGGCAGTAAGAACTGTTCCACAGTGGAATAGACAGCCTCAAAGTGGGATAGATAGCATTTGCCACCCAATAACCAAAATAAAGAGACAACAAAACAGTTATGGGTTGAACTATGGGCAACTTTTATTAATGTTACATAATTAAACTTGCAAGTTTGTAACTTGCAGATGTTTCTAAAGTGTGGCATAAACTTGGTATGGATAAAGCCAAGGCAGTGGCCATCTGGGACCTACCCCTCAGATAATTTGGATGAAAACCTGGGTTCCCAGCTGCAATAACTTTGGGTGATCACTAAGGGAAACGAGATGGAGAATTCTGCCCAAAGGATTTATTGAGGCCAGACTCTTCCATTCCTAGGCCATTTCCATTCACCCTCACCTCAGTTATTTGAACCACAGGTGAGAGTTTGCATTCCTGGACTACACACAAAAGGGGATGCCTTGGGAGTAACCAAAATAAAATCCCTTTCTGTTTTCCGGTATGTTTATTTAAAACCACGCCTTTCCCAAATTGCCCTCTGAAAACAGTATAAGGTAGGTGGAAAAAAAACCCTAGAACACTGGGGGGGGGGGGGATTCCTACCCAGGTTCGAAGGTGACCAATTTAATTATATTGTTAATCTGCGGGAGGGTTGGTCAATGTTCAGGACGAGAATGGAGAATAGGGGTGGAGTACTGGCTGAGGTAGCTCTGCCCCTGGAAAGCAGCCCCAGTTGGGGCTACTTTCCTTTAATTATCTTTGTCGGCGGAGGAACCAAAGCACTCCCCTCTCCCCAACTGTGAGTGGGGGGGGGGGAGTCAGATGGACATCTTTAAACAGAAATTAGATGGTTATCTCTTGGGAGACCTTTGATGGTGTGCCTGGAATGTCAGAAGTTGGACTAGATGGCCCTTCGGTTCCTTCCAACCCTATGGATCTATGATTCTAGTCCACCACTCCACCAATGGGTTCATGGTGCTACACAAAGATCTCATGTTCCTCATTCTGTCATCAGAACAACTCTGTGAAGTGATGTAGGTCCAGGTAGAGACTGACCAATTATCAACAAACAACTCTCATGTTTTGGTGGGGATTTGAAAGTGGATCCCTCTAGTTTCAGTCCAATTCCAAAATCAGTATGCCACACTATCTCTTTTGGAAGAATGAAAAGTTTACTTAAGTTTATTTTGAGCTGTGTAGAGATTGCACAGATCTATTGCTTCTGAGACTGTACCTGAAGTGGAATTTCACACCATGAAAAACTGGAAGGTCATACTGATGAAGCAAGGATTGAAACTTTATTGAAAGAGATGCATTTCTTTCATACATGCTAGCAGACAGAATCGGAACTGAATCGACACCCTCGTTACCGATCTCATTATTCTAAAAGTTTTAAACTCATATATTACATATGTACTGAGGTTACTTCTCATCCAGCTAATATTTCTACAAAATATTTAGGTGGTCTTCCTTGGTTGGTATTAAAACTGGTCTTGTACAGATGTCCCTTTGCATGTAAATAATGCAATCCTTATTACTTGTTATTAAAAAAAAACCCTGTGACTTATGTGTCAGGGAGGAAGAAGTTATGTTGGGTATAACCTTCACTTTGTCAGTCTGGAGGAAAACTAGGACATAATTTGAAAGAGTTGGAAGCATTTTTCTATATCAGATCAAGCAAAGCCTTATTAATGTTCCCTTTACGCCCCATGAATGGAAGTTCAGGGACCCGTAGCACAGTTCCTTGGAGTCTTTAAGTGTCAACCTTCTAATACACTTTCATCTATTATCAAGGAGATGGATGAAAACCTGACACTCAAAAGCACAATGAAAAACAGAACAGGGAAGATAAAGCTAAA